CACCAGGTGCACGGGATATAATAATTAGTCTGCTCCTTTGATTACAGGGAGTTTTAGGACTGATATATATAGATGTAGTGTCCACTCCTAATTTCCCCACATCTGGCAGGATGACAACAAAGTGTGCAGAACAAAGATAAAAGACGGAAGTGGAAAAGGTTTGTGCAAAATGTGAGGAAACATCCATTCTGGCATCTTCAGCAAGGTCTTGCAGCATGTTGACTGAAAGCTGCTGTCGTGAAAGTGAGGTAACTGGAACCAGATGGCCCAATTACAAGGAAGGAAAAGTTACAAAGGCACAGAAACTCTCCTCCACATGACATCATCCGCATTGGCCCAATCCTAAAGCTTTAATTAAAGGGGTCATATGATGCGATTTCAATTTTTCCTCTCTCTTACATTACATCCGTTAATGAAATACGGTATTTTATTGTGAATTTAAGTTAAGTCTGTAAAACCTAAAATGTTGCTACCATATTTTTTACGGTGAAATTCTGGCAACCACAGCTGCCGGTATTTTACCGTAAATGTAACAGATTTGTTTTACAGTGTGGGCCTACAATTAAGTCTACAGCACTTGTAATGCAGTCAAATGCCTTAACCTATTTTTTTTTTTTTTTTAAGAAGGAGGAAAAATTTATTTGTTTCCGTCACCAGGTGCACGGGATATAATAATTAGTCTGCTCCTTTGATTACAGGGAGTTTTAGGACTGATATATATAGATGTAGTGTCCACTCCTAATTTCCCCACATCTGGCAGGATGACAACAAAGTGTGCAGAACAAAGATAAAAGACGGAAGTGGAAAAGGTTTGTGCAAAATGTGAGGAAACATCCATTCTGGCATCTTCAGCAAGGTCTTGCAGCATGTTGACTGAAAGCTGCTGTCGTGAAAGTGAGGTAACTGGAACCAGATGGCCCAATTACAAGGAAGGAAAAGTTACAAAGGCACAGAAAGGCTCCTCCCCATGACCTCATCCGCATTGGCCCAATTCCTTTTTTTTTTTTTTTAACAAAATATTACTTTTTCAGTTCGCATATCACAACAGATTACACAATGAATAACAATCATGCACAGCAAACATTGTATACCCTATTCTCCCTCCCATCCCCAAATGAAAGAAGAAGAAAAAAACATTTTAAAGATACCTAAATCGGTAAAGAGTGTTTCCCAAGTCTATAGAAGATGATGATGATGCTACACTTCTCTCTTAGAGCTTGTTCTTGTAGCAGGCTACCAACATTAACATTGTGCCTTAAGAAGTTTGTAAAAGGTCTCCAGACATCTTCAAAAACATTTTGTTTCTTTTCAACAATTCAATTCCATTGACACCATTCCTTTAGTCCACATTCCAATTCTTGGCTCAATTATCTTTTTCCAATTAAGAGCAATTATACATTTAGCTTGTAAAATTCACATTTCTATGAATCTATGCTTTGTAAGAGAGGGCTGATAGTATGTATTGCCCAATTCTAATACTCTAATTCTAAAAAATGTTAGTGCAAATGTAACTGTAAATATAACTGCTGTTCCTCACTATTTCATTAGATGTGATATTTCTTTTTATACTATAGGATAGTATTATTTATTAACATTTGGAATTAGCTTTTATTTTTTCAGTTTTCATTTAAATGTTAGTATTTTTGTTGTGTGCTTTTTTAATTACTAAAAAAATGATTTCCAATAGTTTTCATTAATAACATTTTCCCATGATATTTTGAGACTTGTGGAAAACCACAAAAGCTTTAAAGTTTTGAACTTTTCTATTATTTTTATTTTTTTTCAGGAAGTTTATATAGTTGTCAACATTTGATGTCAAAGTTGTCCTAAAACCTAAAACCAAAATGCGTTCTTGCCTTAGGACAACTTTGATGAACTTTTTTGATCCACTTTAAATGTTGACTACTGTAGATGTTTAGAAAAAAACACGTGATTTCTCTATTTTACAGTTCTGTCATATTGTAATAATACATTTTAACCGCATACAGAATACTAAAGTGTGTGTGTGTGTGTGTGTACCTCTGGTATTTATCACGTTATGGGGACCAAATGTCCCCACAAGGATAGTAATACTAGTAAATTTTGACCTTGTGGGGACATTTTTGAGGTCCCCATGAGGAAACAAGCTTATAAATCATACAGAATGAGTTTTTTTGAGAAAGTAAAAATGCAGAAAGTTTCCTGTGAGGGGTAGGTTTAGGGGTAGGGTTGGTGTAGGGCAATAGCACATACAGTTTGTACAGTATAAAAACCATTACGCCTATGGAATGTCCCCATAAAACATGGAAACACAACATG